AGGTGGCATCACAGTGACGTCAGATTATTGCCTGTTACGTCCCCCCATTAGGCTCGCTTCGGCGAGGAGTTGAACAAAGAAATGAGCTAGCCCTTCTATTTATCCCTGGTTTGCTCCAGCTCTACTGATTAAACCAACGACTTCATATAACATATTATTTCGTTGAATTAAACATGCAATACATGAAATTATCAGCGATGCTTAGCACAGAGCGAGGGGACTGAACACTTTCATGCTCAGCGTACAGCTTCACAAGTGTTTCCCCTCTCGTGTTGTTAACACCACATGACCATTGATCAAGGAAACGTCGATGCTTGTCAAAATTCATGATGTAATCTCCTCAAAATTGATTCTGGTTCTTTTTCAACACACAAAATTTACTAAATACAGTCCTTCAGTGTTTTGACTTTTTTTCACTGTGGAAGGCAGTTACTCTTTTGTTAAATTTAACATTTGGCACTAAATTTTACCTCTTTGCGGAACCCTCTTTTTGGCGATAAAAATAATTCTTTGATGATGTGGGGATAAAGGCAATAAATATAAGTGCCTCGTAATAGAACCCTTCCCTTGGTCCAGTGGAATAGGTCAATAATGCCCGAGCACATATCTGTGGATAATGATCTGTGTCCCTCAGCTGGGACGCTTTAGTTCCTTGTTTCAATAATTTGGCAACATTGTACTCCGTAATTAGACGGTAAATCGCGCGAATGTATAACATCATTTTTATTTTTTCTTGTTGTATTTTGTTTAACTAATAGTAAAATCTTATTTGATCAGGTATTACTTCTCAAAATGGTATTTTTTTAAAAGTGTCTGTAATTTTAATAAAGCGTGAAAATTTCCATTACAGTTATGAGCGTACATTCTCAACTTCCATATTTGTATATTTATTTTTTCTTTATGTGTTTTAAGAATTTTAATAGAATTTGTGCATGATATTAGTAGCGCTAGTCTTTTAATTATTTTCTTTTCTGAATGTTGTTTCTTTATTAACGAAGCTCCCGTTTTTAACATATTGTTAATTTCGCGCACTGGTTTTAGTAACATTTCCCACTTGCAGATTTTGTAAGTGGTGAATTAATAAATCAAGCACATTGCATTAAATACTTTAGAAAACCAAACTATAATGTAATAGTACCAGTTACTTAAACATCTTATTGAATAACTTAAGAAATGTCCTAATAGTGGCCCTAACACCGGTTGAGGCATAAATAGTAGCTTTCACTCATGCTACTAAAAATAATGCGAAATGTCAGTTTAAATGAAAAGAAAAAAAAAAAAAATCCATCTGTACATGACATACACCAGGGCTATATTTGTTTTTGATTCTTTGAATTTCTTTTGTGTATTTCTTACTTTTGTGTGCCTGATACTGGATTTCTGTATCAAGATTTTTGTTAGTTCTGTGTAACTGAAACTATTAAATGACTTATACATAAATATAACTTTTATTAATTGTTAGCATATTTTTATTTACTATGAAGGTTGCATTTGAAATATTTAAGAATTGTAATTATGACCTATAGTTATGTTATCAGAATAACAATTTAACTCTTGAAAATCATTTTACTTTCAATATTAATAATAGAATTGAATCATTTTGTTTAGAACAGAGGAAATAAAGCAGTCTGCATGTGAAGTACATCTTTAAATCATAATTAATTATGTGAACTTAACATTTTATTGAAATTTTGCATTTTGACTACCAACTTTATTTTTTATTTGCTTCCCAGATGCCAGCTATTGTCAGTTATATACTAGGAACGCCACCCAACCGGGATAGTGGTTAGTGTTACTGACTGTCATACTGAAGGGCCTGGGTTCGAATCCCAGAGAAGGCAACGATGTTCGTAAATGTATAGTGTCTATGCAGCATGGGGCCACTCTGTATACACGGGGAGTCGAAAGGGTTAATCTTTGGATTATGGTAACTGCTTTTTTCTCATAAATTAGAAAAATTTCACGAAAATACATGACAATTTTCTGAATCTTTAAACCCGGTAAAAAGAACATATATAAAATTACCTGATCGCGAAAAAGTTTATACCCTTTCCAAATATGAACATTTCCACATATAAAATAAATAAAATATCCAAAAACTTTTACCTCTAAATCATTTATTATATTATACACGTCACCAACGAATTCATACCGCAAGCATTACAAATACTTAGTGTCAAATATTTAAATTATTTCCATGCATGTTTACTTCAACTTAAACGTATACCAAATTCCTACAAACATAAAATTCACAAAATAACTCTCATTTAATTAAAATATCACTGAACCATGTACACGTCGACTTATTTTTACTTAAAAAAACATCCCAGAATTGCACAAAAATGGCATTGCGCACACTTCACTATATCCATGTACACTGCTTTTTTCTCATAAATTAGAAAAATTTCACGAAAATACATGACAATTCTCTCAATCTTTAAACCCGGTAAAAAGAACATATATGAAATTACCTGATCGCGAAAAAGTACATACCCTTTCCAAATATGAACATTTCCCCGTATAAAATAAATAAAATATCCAAAAACTTTTACCTCTACATTATCTATTATATTACAAACCTCACTAACTAATTCATACCTTTACTTCATTACAAATGGTTACAAATACTTAGTGTCAAATATTTAAATTATTTCCATGCACGTTTACGCAAATTACTTTCCTTCCACCTTACATTTAGAACAATGCATAAAAATAATATCCTCAAATAATTAAAAATACTAACTTACCTATTCTTCTTCAGAATCTTGATTACGTGTCCGATAAACTTTTCTTATTTCTATTTCAGGATCTTTTAAAATCATACTTATAGTTCACACCAAGGTACCAAGTAAAATAAATAACTTAATAAAACATCTTTACTTCTATCTCGCACAACCTTAAAGAAACACTTATTACACCTTTCAATCCCACTAAATACCCATTTCGAATTCACTTTAGTTAGGGCCATGGGATCCAAAAATTAACGAACACTGTTTCACACAACACAGAATAAAGGCAAATACAAAATTTCCAGATTTTTTCCTGATTTCCCCCCTTTTCTGATTAAAGAACCGTAATTCGTCCATTAATATCACATGATCTCTCATTTCCCTCACACAAAATAATGCGTAATCGGAACTGAGTACTGCTCACATTATTACCAAAGTCCCAGGTCATCGCCTCCAAAATGTCGCCAAACTACCAGTTACCATAATGTAAAGATCAGCCGTTTTTTATATTATTTTGTTTTAAAATATAAAATAGCAATTAAACTCTTCCGGTTTCGAAATTGAATAAGTTGCAGAATTATTTTTTCGGCGGAAATCTTTTGGCTATTGCTTTTAGCACTGATTGAAAACCGTCTTCGCCATTAACAGGCGCCATATAAATTCGATAAGGTATGAGTCAAGATGATGACGGGCTGTTCCTCTCTGTTTTTTGTTGCACCATTTGGCTGAGCCCCACATGTGCTCTACATGTTGTGTGTGAACGCCCGTGTTGGTATCCACAAAGCTATATTTGTGATTAACAGTTCCATGCAGAAATCCAACATTTTCGAACTCACTTGTATTGAAACTCATTGTATTTACGAAAAACTACGTATAACACGTAGGGTTGCCGTAAGTAGGGTCGCCAAATTTGGCGATTTATGCGAATTTTGGCCTGGTTGCGTTAATACGTAAGTACCGATATTACTTCTTTCCTAACTTGGTCTAAATTCTTGACTCGCAAGTGAAAGTATCAACCCTCCTGACAGTATTACAATGAGACTTTTAGTGCTGAACAAGAATGCAGTTCACAATCCTTGAGCAAGCAGATAAAGTGGAACATGCATCTGCAATATTGGCAGCCATGGGAATGACAATTATAATACATTTGTGAGCTGCAGGCTTTCCTTTATCATCAGAGATTATATGCCGATCATAGAGTTGCACATATTATGTACTTCGCTGTACAGTATAGTGGCAAAAGGCAGTGCAAATGTTGTTCTAGCCAAATAGGTGCACATACCACAGGCACTTAATAACTGTACTGTTCTCATTCTGTCATAACTGTTGTGCATATTATTTTTTGTGAAATACTTGGAAATGTCTTTTTCACTCTGAAGGGGAGATTAACCAAAATAACAAGGCAAAGAATTGCACAAACTCGGTATCTATGTACTCATCGACCTATTTTCACTTTAAAAAAAATCCCAGAATTGCACAAAAATGGCATTGCGCACTCCCTTGACTTTATCTATGTACACATCAACCAATTTTCACTTAAATAAAAATCGGAGAATTTTTCACAAACTAGGCTTTGTGCACTCCCTTGCCCGTGTACAGATCGAACTACATTCACTTCAAAAGTCAAGGGAACAGCCAACAAAAAATATAGGTAAAATCCTAGTATACGGTGCAGCCTTGGCGCGACTTTGTAAATTATCGCCAACACCAAAAATGATCCAAAGAAAGTCTATATATATACTATGTGTGTATATACACTATATACATAGTATATACTATGTTTAACTATATATTTTCTTTGAATGACCCGTTAACTACTCACCGTATATGTCTCGTTTTTACTGCTCATCATAAAGTCGCCAAAAGTAGCCAAATCCCGTGTGCACCGGATACTAGAATTAAACCAAAATATATAATCTCAATAAACTACATTTTAAATTAAACAATAAAATAACATAAAAAAAGGAAATTCATCTTTGCTCTACACAAAGAAAATATTCACTTAGCTTATTTGCGAATTCACACATCTTCAGTCGAACAAAATTCCTTAACAGCATCCAAAAACTTCCTAAAATTATCTGAACTAGAATCTGTATACTGGCGTCGTCACATAAATTCACAAAATAAGTGTCAAAAATATCCTCCGTAGCGCCGTTCGACCATACGCATTTCCTTCCTACAAACAGGACACTTGATAATGGCTACTAAGTAAACCTTCATTTACGCACCAGTCAAGTAATGCTCTTTTCCCCTTTCTTTCCAAATCGTACAGAAACTTCAAATTAATCTCGCCACATTCAGCCATTTTATCGCCTAAACCACAAAACAAGCAATATACTTCCTAACCAACACACATCACAACCCCTTACGAATTTACCGCAATCATGCAGCCGATTACATCATAATAGGGTTTCCATAACATTTAACTACTCAGGCTACCATAAATGAAGCAACATCTTGGTGATAAATGAAACAACAACTTGACGATAATACAAGGGGTACCCTTAAGTCAACTCTAACCAAGAGCAAAGTAAGTATATTAATCGACGGATAATGTAATATAACAAAGAGAGAGGGGGGGAAAAAAACTAGATATTTTTAAACTTCTTATTGGTAAAAATTTCAATATGAAATAAGTATATTAAAAATTGTACATAATAGTGCTTACTCGGTACATTACTCGGTTTTGCAGTGCATACAGATTGCTAATTTTTATACTTTTACCTGTACAAGTTCCACAAACATATTTTTTGCAGTATTCAAAGCTTTGTTGCCTCTGCATGTATTTATTTGGCATTGTTTACGCTTACGGGAAGGATTGATAGAAGTACCAATTTTCTTTTCGTTAGATACAAAAAGTTTGTGAATTTTGGATCAAATGTACATCTTTCAAAGCTCCTCAGCTGTATTCAAGGTAAAATCACGACGGCTGATATTTTTATATTGTTTCCTTGTAAATTATCCATACCTTTATCACAGCCAAATCAAAAATGTAAAATAACTTGTACTGGCCAATATCTGGATGAGAATTTACTGAGTATTTTCTGGCCATTGGGTCCAAAACATCAACTCCATATTTGGTCGAACTGTAAAAATTCACAACTTCTGGTGTATTTTTTTCATCAGATGTGATTTCCAGTGTTGGGTGCATGGTACTCAGAAGCAGGACGTTCTTGCTTTTTTCTGTTTCATAAGACGTAGGTGTTATATTATCTATGAAAGCATTCAAAATATCATCCAAAACAAGGGAAAATGAATCTGTTTGTAGCCCTTGGGATCTTGATCTGAATTTTTAGTTTCCATTACTGTTTTGTGAACAGATTCTCCATTAGACGAATCGAATTCATTTGCTTCAGTAGTAGTTGTTGGATAAACTGGATGCCACCAGTCCTCGTTGGATAAACTGGATGTAGTTTCAATATGAAATTCTTCATCAGGTTCGATTTCTGAAGCAAAATTATCATCAGAAAGACTTTCAGAATCTCTTTCTTCATTAGATATTTTCTGCTAACGCTTCTACGTGACATGATAAAGAGGTCAGAACAACAAACTTATCCAAATGAAGTGAAGTACATTTGTATCTACTAAAAAGTAAACTTTATAACACAAGCGAGTGCACAAACATGGCGAGCAAAAGTTCCAAACAGGGTTTTTATTCCTCCTCCCCTCCCCACTCACTTTTGTGAAATATGTAATCTTCCTTACCAAAAATACACTTGTTTATCTATCAGCAAACCAGAAATGGCTAAAAAAGTGATAAAAATGTTGAAAAATCTGTAATTTTCTGGATACGGTCGAAATGATCAATAGCTGTAGTTCTAGGTATAAACAATAATATTGTCAAAAATAATTACCTAAAATGAACAAAAAAAAAAAAAAATTGTCATGCAATATTCGTAAGTTTTTAGAACAGAGTTATAAACAAAGAATTAAAGAAGTTATGTCCAATTAAAATGGAGATACAGTCAAAATGACCGTTCCATAATTCTAGTGTTAATAACTGAATAAACAAAAGTAATTACAGCCAATATTCATTGCATAAGAAATGTATATTTTTAACTCCAAACCTTATATCAAACAGAGGTTTAATGACTTATCTGTGCTTTAATTTTTTAAACTTATATCTCAATATCAGTTTTTCTAATTTGAAGTTAACTGAATGCACATTTCTGAATTTTTTTGGTTGAATGATGTCACTACAGGTTTACAGTATATTTCTTGACTGAGAATATAGTATGCTCACAGTAGTACATTATATCAAAAACACTTTATGGAGCAAATATATTTTCTTGTATGAAAATCTGCTGGGATATTCATCCTGTATTTTTGTTTACATGTCATTAAATTTTGGTTTTTCATAAATTCATCTTGTGCAACTTTCTGTATTTTAGAAGTGGTAAATTAAAAAAATCAGGTGTTCAAAAAGAGGGTGTACCATTTATTGATTTCAGAATCATTTTTAATATAAGCTGAAAAAAAAAATAAAAGTCGCACATCTAGAAAAAGCTGTGGATCTTTATGAAACTGGTTGAAGACATGAGGGGAGACAATAAGGAAAATATAAGAATAATGGGAGAATCAATAACTTTATTTTTTGTAGCAACAGTGATCAGAGATGTTAACAGATTAATATGGTGTAGGAGTGCGTTGGATGTCAATGGATGTGGAAATATCACAGATGCATACAGATATCAAATGCTGTTCTGGTGGATATCTGATCAGGCTCAATGATCACCCAGATCAGATACTTTTTTTTTTTTTTGCAATGGCTGGAGCCAGCAGTTGATTATATTCTAAATGTGTTTATTGGGAAATCAGAGTGTCTTATGGGAGGGTTGCCATGTTAAAGATATAAAATTTTGTGATGTGTACTGCACGTGCTGATTATCATGTTAAAAAATATTCCCCAACATGTTTACCATAATAAACCTGAGGTTGTCATCAATGCAATGCTGGCTACTCAGGGTTATATGCAGGATGACCAAATGTGACCATATCATATGCAAGTCTTGATGAATAACACAATGAAAAGAAAATTGGTTGTTTAAGATTTTTATTTAATTTTGATGAAGTCACTGTTTTTTAATTATTGCTGCAGGTGTAATATATGCTGTAATAGGAAATATTTCTTTTATGAAACCATATTTATTTATGTTTGTTATAAGGCTTTAAAAATATCTTTTTATTGCTGTAAAAAAAGTAGTTGATACTTCTTTAGTTATAGACATTTTTAAACTCTAAGGGTTAGCAGCATTGGCTTGGCCATCTCCATGCATAACTATGGTGGCTGTCTAGACTAAGCAAGAACCTGGATTCATTACTGAAAAATCGTATGATTCCAGTTTGCTCCATTCCACAAGCCGCAGGCAGGTCATAACAGCAGTCATTGTCCACTCTCCACCAGCCATTGTCCAGTAGTTCTTTGTGGAATCAAATGTCCCAGTGATGTGGATAGGTTCTATGGTTTGGTAAATTTTGTAGCTGTCAGTATGCTTGTGGCAGCAAGCACAGCTGCTTGTTTGATGCATCAAGTCTTCCATTTCACTGCTTACCGGAGGAGGGCATGCTCGAATTAATTACTCATGACACTATGACCACACTTTCCTGAAAGGTGATGATATTTCCTCTTTGGAATTTACTCGTTTGCATGTGACATTGTCACATACATCCTTGGGACATTCTTGGCTATGTCTAGTAACTCGAGTACAGAAACAGGTACAAATTTACACAGTGGGTGAGTGCTGCGCCTTTTGCATTTGTCAGCTTGCTGCGTTCTGGTGTGTCATATATGCTTTCTGTTTTCACTGGCTGAGCCTATTCAATACTTTACATAGCTTGGGTTTGGGTTAATTGCATATCAAGTGCCATTATGTTACTTGGGATGTTCATGGCGTGTGCATTTTTTTATTGCAGAGTGCATCTGAACAAAATAATAATAATGTTATTAAGAATAATTATAATGTATTTTGATGTAATGAATAGCGTCTACAAACTTTTTTTATTTGAAAAATACCGAAAACTTTTGGATGCAGTGTCATTCTTAAAAGTCTCAAATTTTCAACAAAGGAGATCCAAATAGCAAAGTGCTTCATATTTCTGCAATGCAGTGTGCTATTTGCTTTGAATTTTTTGTTTAAAAAATGAAAATTATCTGTCATATCAACTAAAAATATAATTTTGAAAACCCACCATATTATTGATATTGTTGCATTCTTCTTGTTTCTGTTAACAAATTTTTACCTCTGGCAAAAAGTTAGCAAACCTATTTACCCTTTGGGTACATTTGACAACTTAGACTTGTCATGCACTTGTTTTGCCTAAGTTATGGATAATGAATCTCAATTGTCTTTTAAACTAGGACAAAATTAAACATGTACATTCATCTTTATGGCAAAAGTGATTAGTATGAGTTATAAGAGCAAGTTTCTTCCACTACTTCAGTGAATACCTTGCAATCCTTGATGAAGCATCACCTAAATGATTGCAACAAAAAATGTCTTTTTATTATCAAAAACAAAGAGAAAAAACTGTACAAATGTGTTTCCATGTATGCAAAGGAAGTTTCATTAAGGAGTTTATGATTGTCTCAGGATTCTCTTACTGTGGTAAATTAAAAATAAGGGCAGTAGGGAAAAAAAAAAAAAAAAAGTTAAAAGTCAACTCATTTACTATCAGCAGGAAGTTTTATGTCGGATATTTAACGAAGATATTTCATTTTTTTATCCCAGTGATTTTCAAATAATGGTACTTCATCAAAACAAAGCAATAAGTCATACTTCGTAAAGTATTGCTGCATTCCTTGAAATGATGATGGAGAGCAATACAGGTGTTGCATATATATGTTTTCATCGTTTTCCTGTGAAGTCACCTGATGTTTCACTTATAGATTATTGTGCCTTTGGTTGCTCGAAAAAAGCTTTTTCTAAGTGCAAACTGACAATGATTAATGGATTCTGGAAACTAGTGGAAGAGGCATGGAAATCAGTGCTCCTGGAAATTTTATGAAAAGTCCTTATCATGGAAATCTGTTGCAGACTTAGTGCATAAAAAAGGTTATCAGATCGAACATTTTAAAACATTACATTCATTACATTTTAAACATTAATTAAATGGCCCTGAAATTATTCTAAAAATGTTTAAACTTAAACCCTCTTTGTAGTTTACTGGGCTTGTGTAAGATAGTATTTAAATTTTTGAAACCTTTTGGTTCACAAGACTTCACCTTCATTATAGCCTGCCTCTTGGTTATCTATTAATCTCAGCTTGATGAGATTTCCAATTGGTTGAAAACCCCTGACTCATATATATATATATATTGGCAACTAGCATCGTCTATCATTCTTTATTCATATTTGAGGAAGAACAGGATTGTAAATGTCACTGAAATATTCAAAATTATTGGTACTATAGTAAATAATTTTTTTCAAATATTTACTGTAAAAATTTTTTAACATAAAATTTGAAAACCCATTTATGATAAATGGTTTTAATGTGATAAATTCCAGTGTTTTATATCAAGAGAATTGCAATATTTAATTTTTTTTTCAGGCTATTATGTTTCATCACTGGATTCATAGAGCTAGTAGTTGTGCTTGGATTGGACTTGTCTATATAACTTCCAGTAAAGTGTATGCAAGTGATGTTTTTGAGAAACCAACATCAAAATGGAATTATGATTGGGACAAGTAATTATTTCTTATATTTCATATTTGAAATTTTATTTATGAGATAGCTTTTGTTAAATCCATTAAATGTTGAATATCAAGCTCATTTTGTTCTGAAGTAATTTTAGCAAATGCAGTGAACTTACAGTTAAGGAGGTTTTTAATTAATTAGGGTGTCTTAGACCTTGTCTAAGGTTTGTTTATTGCATAATGATGGAAAAATTCTAACAGGGACCATTAAAAAGAAAGGAAAAATTTCTGCAGGAAATAAAAAATGGAGAAGGAAATGTGAAATAGCAGATGATATCACAGTATTTAGAGTTTTTATCCACAACACTATGTACTGTGTAATTTAATTATATATAATCTGAAATATAATAAATGTTATTAAATCATCCATGAAAAATAAGTTGCTAAATCATAAAAAGTAGTTAAATTACAACGCTTAATTTTTTTTTGTTTACCTTTGATACTTATTGAAGTAATAGTAATTTGTAATGTAAACAAAAACATTATTTGTGTGTTGAAATGTGTTCTTGTGTTAAATGCTGATATAATCTGTGTTACCAATTGAATTTATACCTTAAATCAAATTTCTTAGGAATATTTTCTTCTGTAATTTTGAGTTATCCAAATTAATTGGAAGTCTGTTGCATTTTAATAGCTCTTGTACAGTATTTTAATGAATTTTTAACCACTTCACGACGGATGTATCATATATGCATCAGTACTTAATCCTCTTATGCGATGGCATGCCAGTTAGTGCAAGTCATCTTGGAGATAGTGTGTTGTTACGGTAGTGTGATCTTGCAAGACAGGGTATTTTGCATCACTAAGCCTTACTTTAAAAAAATTCATTAAAAGTATTTCTTTTTTATTAATTGTTTTGATTTTTACTGTAATGGTATCTAACAGTAATATAATCATAAATACAGAATATCAAGAGATTCTGAAGAAACTTAAATTCAAATCTAAATGCAAAATAAAATATTCATCTAATCTCAATGAAACATTATAAAAAGCTTACATCTATATCTGAATATATGTAAAAAGTAATAAAATATATGATTAAATACTATAGCATATATGATTCAGAGGAGACAGTGTGTGATAATCTAGTTGCTATCATTTCACGAAACACATTTTGAGGTCAAATTTGTTAATTATTCCTAGCAGAGTAATTAATCCTAGGAATCCCCTCATTTTAGTCACATGCACAGGGGTATGTTGATTTTGGATGAAGATGGATTTTTCATTCATTCGTTCACAGAAATATTTAGTTTCTTCAACTATTATGTTCATCAGATTATAGAAAAAAATGGTGAAAAAATTCAGTTTCATTCACATAACATTAAAGTAAGTTTACTTCTACGATTCCCGTAAATTTATAAGCCTTCAATTACTTAACAGGTCAATTCCTGATGGTGCTGCCTCTGTTCTGCTGGATTATGAGATAAAAGCAAAACAAACTTCCAGTTCGCTCTCTGACAAAATTTCACTATCAAAATCACTATTCTCACTTAAATTTAGAGTCTTCGTTGTCAAAATAGTAACTAATGGCTATTTTGAAGAAATAGGTCAAATGGACAAACATGGGCTTTACTATTCGAATATTCTCTTCTTCCATTAAAAACTTCTCTTCGATATTGTACTATTAGTTTAACTCTCTTAACCAGTGCAAAAAACTTTCATCTGCTATCTAAAGTAGATGCAAATTGAACTCAAACTCATGTTCCTAAAACCACAACTCCACTCCCATTCTTCTCATAGAGGGGAAAAAAATGAAGCAAATCGGAAACTGTTCAATGTATATATGACATGAAGCCTCAACTGCCCATCAGCTGGGTTTTGTTTACTTTATATAATCTGCTCTTAACATCTAACCGAACCACCAGAATCGGAAAGTACTTCATGGACATAAGGGGAACAACGTATATGTTTAAATAAGCTAACTGTAGTAAAATTCTAAAAGCATGTGTATATTTGAAGGTGCATGTATGACATACCCATTTGGAAGATCAGTACGACGATGCACCAGTGCATCACCAGGCTGCTATAGACATTTAGAACTAATGCATATATGACGCACCTGTCTGCAGAGGGTTTTCAGTTCAGCAACATGCCGTCATGAAGGGATTAATATGGTAACCTTTTTAATAGTAGAAGTTTTTTTTACAGTTTAAGTTCTTCTATCAAATTGATATTATTTACAATATATCTGTGCTTTTGCATGTTCTATTTTGGTACCTTTATTAGTGGTATCTGGCTAAATATACACAAGTGCACTACTATAATGTCATGCAGATTAAAAGGAAGAGTAGAAAAACTTTTGATGTGAAAAATTAATATATCTCTTTTAAAAGAAAAGCTTTTAAGCACTCACATGCAAAATTGAACAGCAAGCACAGAATTGTAAATGTCATTTAACTTGCAAGAACATTTCCGTTTTCAGATGCTTTCAATGCCACATGAACTGTATAAAATAAACCTTTAAATGATGGTGAGCATTGACTTTCTGATTTTTATTGCACTATTTCACAAATGCTGAACTGTTTGAGTATGATAGCCATTTTTTTCGGTCCCAAAAATTATGTGCATGATTTACTGTGAAATGCTGATATCCAGAAGTCTATATGCTGTCCAACAATTGCTAAAACTACTTCCTCCAATGGTGGGCTATTAATATCTAAGCAGAATGATATGCATTATCTAAAAAAATAAGCAACAAACAATAAAATTAGCATAACTTGAGAAGAAGAAAGGTTACAGCAAAGAAACTTGCATATGTATATTGCAGTGAAATACGAAAGCAGTTCTGCAGTAAAATATTTCCATAACCATACATAGTGCTGTGTGATGCGATGGATATAAAAACAGGTTTATTTCAGCAGTTGCTAATTTTTCATTGTTACCTTTGTTCAGTCCTTTCCTTGAAATTTATGAAAATTAGTCGTTGGCGGCTTTTGAGTGAAAACATACGCTGGTATGCAGTTAGGCGGATCCATTCTGGGGTATAACCAGTAGAGACTGCCCTAGCCTTAAATGTCAAGCGTTCGTTCACCAGCTTGTGGAATATCAAAATGAACATACTGTATTACAAAAACCTGGTAGTGGAAGTCCTAGAGTTATAAACATGCGTGAAGACCGTGTTTGCAACCTCGCCATTGTCAGATGAGTTCAGTCCGTCAACTTGCTGAAATAGTGATATTCCGATAAACTGTTTGCATACGGCTACATAAAAGTCATCTGTATTCCAGACGACCATCAGTTCGTATGCAGTTGACATCGTCTCACAGAAGAGCTTGTCACACAGCTACAGTCGTGCTGGTGTGATGGCTTGGGCAGGGATATCGGTCGGCAGCCAAATTGATCTCCACATCTTTCCTTCCTGGTCAGTGATCAGGATGCAATTCTGGATCCATATGTTCACCCACATCTGGTAGCCATTGGTCCTGATGCCATGTTTATGGATGATAATACATGAGTACATAGAGCTCGCATTGTCAACTGATACGTCGAATTTGAAACACTGCTTTGAATGGAATGGCTGGTGCATTTGCCGACTTGAACCCCATAGAGCATGCCTGGGACATGCTCGGGAGATGTCTTTCTGCTCTCTGCAATCCTCCACAGAACCTTAATGACTTGACAACATGTCTAAAAATCTGCATTAAACCATGGTGGCCTGCTCATTAACACAAAGTGTCCGGTGGTTCATTTACTATTTATTATATCGTTTATACAATATTTACATTTGTCCTATTATTAAGTGGGCCAGCCTTCACAGAAATTATACTGCCTAATCAACTGATATGCGGTTATACCTTACATGCGTTCTGCTGCCAAGCAGCGGCCTTTACATTCTCTCTTTTCAACAATGGGCACAGATCTCGCAAAGTGCTGTTGATGACCTCCTTGCAGCTAAATTGTCGCTGTTGAGCCTGTATTTCCAGTACAGGTGGTCATATGCCTTTTGTTTGCAACTGAATATTTTGTAGCACAAGTGAGGGACATTAATTTTTATACTGCTTATTTGATAAACCCGTTTTGTTTATTTCTGTTATTTTGCGTAGCATTTTCTCTTCTGTTCAACAACCTGTGAAAATTTCAATGCTTTTCAACATATTGACATTTCATGACCATTTTTCTGTTTGTTAATTATTTTTTGAGACATAGTTTAGCAAGAAAACATTCACTTGCTTCACAATGTAATTCTTCAAAACTTATTGTAGTGGATGAACATGACTAGTATTGGTTTTTCTTTTGATGAATAAGCTGTTTTCTGTTTCAGCTTTGGTATTCTCTGATTATATTTCCAACCCTCCCGCAAAGTTGCCAATTATTGCTGATTAATTTTTCACATTCTCTGATTATATGCCCAACCCTCCCGCAAAGTTGCCGATTATTGCTGATTAATTTTTTACCAGCCTCAGATGTCAAAAACTGTAGCCATTTTAAAAAATAGTGAGGCACTTAAAATTACATAAATCAGCAGCAAATTAACTAAATTAAAAATACAAGTAACATCCATAAGAAGACTTTTTTTTTTTTTTTTTTTTTCTGCCATTCAACTCTTATGTGCACATTGATGTTTTTAAGATTAGAGAATTGCACAAATTCAGAAAAAGCTGTTATTACAGTCACCTAAAGAACTAGCTGGAATACATTTTAACGAGTATTTTCTAGCTGCAAAATTTCTATAATAATGTTACTTTGGAAATAAATAAAAAGTTGTTAAATGCAACATTTTATACATATTTTATTACTTTAAAAATAATAATGAAAATAAATTCTGACAATATTAATGTTTTTGCAGCCAGTGAATACTGTCCGGCTGTTTTTAATTTGTTAAATTTTTGTGATTTTATATAATTTCAGTGTTTCGTTGTGAATGTGTCTTTTAGGTATGCAACACGTTCTTTTTCATTAGCAGGTAAACTCCACTGATATTTTGGTTCATTAACCAGCGAAGCGCTATCGCGCTTCACTTGTCATATGCCAAAAATATGGCGCAGCGTGATAGCGCTTCTCTTGTTTTGTATCGAGAATGCAAAGACGCTGCTGTTAGTTAGTATACTTTACGCAGTTATTAAGAGCAGTTAGAGTGATATCAGTAGCAGTTGTTTTATAGGAATTGGAAATGGTTTTCATTTTTTTACCAAGTGTTATAATTACGAAATAACCCATGTCAAGTTCTGATTCATTTGAAAGTGACTATGTTATGAGAAGTGATAATGAAGAGTATAGTAATGACCTTGAAAGTGATAGTGGAAGTGACATCATCATTTGTTCTAAGAGATTACGAGTTATTAGTGATAGCACTGATGATGATGAAGTAACTGCAAGTATCTCCGATGCCGATATTATTGACTAGTTTTTACCCGTGGATACAATTTTTTCGAACGAATCGAATATTTTTTCTGAAGTACCTGGACCAAAGCATGCCCCTCCTCCTAATGTGAAACCAACTGAATATTTCAATAATTTTTTTTCAATTTTCAATAATGTTTTTTCAAGTATACTAACCAACAGCAGTGTCTTCGCATTTTCGATACAAAACAAGAGAAGCGTTTTCGCATTGCGCGTATTTTTGGCATACAAGTGAAACGCGCGCCGGACTCAAACGGTTAAAAGAAAAAAAATTGCACATGCTTATCACAACAAACGCCACCCACAAAGATGACCATCAAATTTCATGAGCCAAATTCTGCACCTAGTGTGATGCATGTGCAGCCATTTGTGAGTTGCCAGATAAACACATTTTCATATAAAACTCTTTGGTGACATAGCATGTTGCCTGGTGATTATTCTTCTCAGGATTGGGTCAATAATCAGAGTACTGTTTCTGGCTTTATTGAATAAGTTTTTGTCTATTTTAATGATTTTAAATTTAAGATGAGCTATGAAAGCATCACATACCTCTTAGACATATTCGTTCCAGTTCACAATCATACTATGGCTTATTTGAAAACTGCATTTCACAGGACTTGTGATGGTAACTCTGGCCAGCAGATGCATAGAAATCGAACAGCATTATGTATAAGAATACATAAACCTGCAAGTTGTGTTTAGGTTTAGAATCCATTTGTTCTCAAACATGATTGTAGATGACAGCATTGTTTTATGGTAGACCAATATTTTAGTTCTACTGGTTATAATTAGAACAAAGCCATTTCATGAATAATTCCTCTGTCTTGAAGCAATATGATGGTAGCTTCATCATCATTTACAGGGTTCGTAGTGGTCCTTACAAGTGCTTGTAAGTCCTTATATTTGAAAATAAAATATAAAGGCCCTTATAGGTGCTTACTTTTTTTTAAAGCCCTTTTTTTGTTGTGCTTATTTTTGCTTTTAGTGCTTTTTTTTTAATCTTTGTTTTATGAACGCGCTTTTTCCCCGTACCAAGCCGAAACTAAATAACAACTTTCCTTATGTGCAACCTGGTGAATCCCCCCTTTTTCCCTCCTCGCGCGCGAGAGTACGACAGGGCACGTCGTTCTATTGGCCAAAGTTGCCGTAGAAAATTCCGGTCTTCTTTTCTCCACCCAAATACTACACACGTTTGAATTTATCAAGATTTAATAATTTGCATTCTCGTCCGCGTGGGTTCATTCATGTTATTCTGATCGTTATGCTTATATTATGAGCTATATGTCTATTTATAATATAGTTGCAGAACTGATGAAGTATAGATAAACTTCCAAAAATGGGTGTGTTTTTAGACAGATTAGCTTTCTAAGGAATATCGGAATGGCTTAAATAAAAGGAAGTAATTAAATAGTCAAAATAATTCTTTACTTTGCCAAGTATACGGTACGGAGAGTTCCCAAAATCTCTAATTTAAGCAGCGGACTTTTTTTTGTCACGTCAATCTAGATTGAATAGGATTAAAGTTTTGCGGTCTATCCAAACCAAGCGAAGATTAATTTATTTCGGAAATTTATAGTCTGTTGAAAATTAGAACAGAAAACACCCCAGATAGTAAGATTATTTACTGTGCTTTCTAAGCAGAGTTCTTTATTTACCGATACCGGCAGGTGTGATTCCGATTCGTAATTCCATACTATGGAAGATTATGCCACATGTATGCGCAATAACGTTTGCGGTATTTTGCATTGATAATTAATTTTGCGTTCAGTCTGAGATTGTTATGAAACTTAAAAGAGTTTACTGTGCTTCTAAGCAGAATATTTCTCAGTTCCGTTGGTTTATATGATGCAATATCGAAATGTCAAAATCATTATTTAGCCTAAATTTAAAATCTAAAGCACGGCTACAATCTTCCCCACTCCTCTTTTTCAGTTACGTCGGAATATTCGGGAAATTCGTATGCGGGTTAGTTAAGCTTTTACTGTAAAGATGACTGAATGAAGCAATTTCCCATCTTCTGATTCAGAATGTGCCTCTTTTTCACTTAAATTACTTTGCTTCGGATATATTAAAAAAACTGTTATGCAATGAAAATAGAAAATGTTCAGAATTTGATTTAAGTTAAATTATTAAATATTAATATGAGTGGAAAATAAATTGTAGTTATTATTAGGTGCCAAACGAATACAATTAATATGACTTATATTATTTATTTTCATTTTCAACTGAAATATCATCATTAATTTTGTAATATAGTTAGTTTGCATAGTTTCTTTCTCTCATGTAAACTAATTGTAAATTGAAACGTATTTAAAATTTAAAAAAAAAAGTTTAATTGTTTTCCATTGTTGAGGTAATGTCTCATTCTCTAAATAAATTGCAATGTCATATTTAAATTACAAGTCTAATTTTTTTTAGGTTATGCAGTGGTATAATTTAATTAGACAGGGCTTATTTTTTCCTTAAAATGTGCTTGAAAAGTGCTTATAGGTGCTTATTTTTTTAACTAAAATGTGGCTATGAACCCTGATTTAGCATTTATTAAATTGTAAATTCCTTACCTGTTTATGTGTAAGAAATGGGCCCAACAGAAAGGAAAAAAGAAATCAGGAAATAATTAATCATACTCTTTTGCATGGTTCGTTTTGTAAAACAGAATATTTATACACTTGTGAATATTTAGTCATGCACTAGCAAAAAAGTAGTTATTTTTGCAATGTGTGAATTTCCATGTTTTGCTATTGTATTTAAATAATCTTTTGTTGTGTAAAATTTAGTCCTGAACAAGACGAAAAACCTTCTCCATCGATGTTTAATAAAAACATTATTATGATAAGATCTGCTCAATCTCATGATACATCCACTGTAAAAGGACCAAGGGCTTTAACTGCTTTAGGTGAGTACCATTAACTTTTCGTCTAGATAATAGCTATGACGTAGCTAATTCTTGTTGATATTCTATTCCTAACAGTGTGCAGGAAAACTATTTAATTGTATAATAATTCTGCATTTGTCATGCTTATTGTAACTAGTTCAGATACAGTGTTAAGTGAAAACATACTAATAAAGTATACCATTATAGAACAGTTGAATGTGTATTTCAAATAATGGCTTTGGGAGATTTTATGAAGCGGCAATTTTTTATTGAAATTTTTTAAAAAGAAATGGATATCAAACAGCCTGCATTATGGTTTTATTTATTCATGTAACTTACATTCAGCTCAAACTTGTATCAATACTTCACATGTCTATGCTATTAAATTTTGAGTCTGTGATCAAAATTAGGATTAAAATTTCTCAGCGAGTTTTTTCCGAACTTCATTTAAATAATCATATATTGATGAGGTTTCTTTTTTTTTTTTTCTTTTCTTTTTTTTGTTGTATTCATTATTGCTTTCGTGTATAATGTATAAAATATTTAAAGTAAGTTTGAAACTTAATGGTGATAGTATAACTTCTGAAATTCTCCATCAACATCCCAATTTTGATTTAAAGCTATTTGGCAGATAGACTCCAACTGTCTTGTATCCCTGTTTTCCTAGCAAGTAGTATACATATTTTCTGTAAAGCACCAAAACAAATAACTAAAAAAGAGATTCATGTGTTGTATTCATTTTAAGAAAGATGGGCAGATAAAATAGTACAGTCAAAAATCTTTAATCCGGACTCATCGGGACTTCGGCGATTCGGATATAGATCATCAGTTAACTCTGGTAAGAGCATAAGAAATTATAAAATTAAATATGAAGCCATAATTTGAAATAAAGAGCATTATGATCAAGGGTATCAAATTTACAAAAAGCTTAAATTTATTTGGTTTAAAATTTCTTCAACGGCGCATGCGTAAAGCAACATGAGAATAGTCGAGATAGAAATTGTAAAGAAAACATTGATGTGTATTCGTGATATTATAATGAAAGAAATTGATTTAAATTGATCAGTACATCGAGATGAAATACTACATTTAGTAAGGAATTATAAGCCGAATAAAAAAAAACATCTGCCTAAGCAGGATAGTGCTGACAGATAAACTTCATCGCCCCCGCCCCCGCGCGGAGTAGCGTGAAATTGATAAAGATTTTGGAGTGGAAACAACCTTATCAATTTTTTGCAGCAGTATTCATTTTTGTTTAATGGATTCGAAACATACTTCGTTGTAGATCTTTACGTATTAGTAAATATATATCGGACTTTATTTGTCATAACGAAAGTCAAGCTACTTTTACAAATTGCTCTAACAGTCTGCAAAAATAATAAGCGGACAATTCGAAGATAAGGAACAATGCAATCTGCAGTGAAATAGATAATTAGATAATTTTAGCTTAGCTTATCTGTCTGTTATACATTAACGCGCATGGTAAACGTATTATAGCATGCGCACACACATATTCGCAGCCGTAAAGGTCTTGCGCGCATGCGTCAACACTCTGCATGCGCAGAAAGTTTGTAGCTTTGAGGTCCGGATTATGGGTGTCCGAATTAACGACTTTTGACTGTACTACAAACAAGGAAAAAATTTTCAAATACGAAATAAAAAAAATTAACCAAGAATTAGCTGTAGGTAATTAAATTCCAGTTTAAAAACTCTACTATGTGCGAAATAATTCAAAACAAGGATTGACACACAGTCCTACATTGCATATTTCGCACTCAAAATACGTTTGTTATGTTACATAAGGCGTTACATTCGAACAATGGCTAGCTCAGAATGGATTCATAAGTCATCTACCCAATGAAAACAGCTATCTTATGATAAATGGAGTACTTCAAATCTTTTTAAATTGATGAAAAAGGTTTATTTACACATTTCTACAAGTTAAATGTTCAGGAATTATCTATCTAGCTACATGGTGCAAACAACATCCTTAGTTTTCTAAACCGAGACTATTCATTTTTCTCTGGCGTCCCCTGACATCAGTCTCTATCTTGCCTTTGATTCGTTGGCGTAGAGATGCCATTCCAAACATTCTCCCCCCTTTTGAGTTGCTGGATAGCTACTCAAAACATTCAAGTCTATCAAGTTCAATCCTCTTAACAGTTCTACCAGATCGTGTCTGTGTAGTCTTAGAACTGTCACATATATCGGAAACATCAGTGGGGTCCAGAGATCGGGGTGGATTTGAAAAGAAAGGGAAAAAACAAAAGCAAACAGAAAAAGTGAAAAAGAAAAAAAAAACAATGTCCAGGTGGCGAATGTTAACTTTGTGCACCACCAGTTCATCTGATCAGCAGAGGTTGACAGGTGCCTTCATGGCGTATTTTTCATACTTCATAATAATCAGAGGGATGAACTTTCATTGTCTCATAAGGACCGAAGAATTTGGGACGGAGTCTAAGTCCAAGTTTCTGTCCAAGTTGGATTGGCATTTGGATTCCAAGTTTGTATTTGCAGGTTCTTTTCTGACATTTCTTTGGGTATGAAGCGGCTAAAGAATATGAAACAGTAATTTTTCTTCCAGGCATTTCAGCATTCTTTGTTGTCTCAAAAGCTTCAACATCATCTTTTTCCTGTATGCAACTGATGGTAGCATTTGGATGTAAATTAAATACGTTTATCTGAGTTATCTGAGGTGCTTTAGGAAAAAGTTCTGCAATTTCAGAAATCATAGTATCAGCTGGAATGTCAGAGATAAGCATTTTCCTTGAATTCTGTTTCTGTTCTTTGGGATTTTCTGCACTTTTAGCACGTTTTTTCTTGTTTGCTTGATCAGCATATCCTTGTTCAAATTGATTCGGTTGATTTTGCAAAGTTTCTTCATTCTTCACTGTTGGCATTGATGATAAAGGCAAAGCATATTTTGCTTCCCTTAAATA